CCGTATTTGCGACGAGGTCGGGCTGGGTGCCAGCTGCAACATGGAAATATACACCGCAGGGGCAGGGAGAGAGAGAGAGAGAGAGAGAGAGAGAGAGAGAGAGAGAGAGAGAGAGAGAGAGAGAGAGAGAGAGAGAGAGAGAGGTCTCGCAAGTATGGTATAAATATGTGTATTAATATATGATATGGGGGATGGGGGATATATATTGTGAATGGAATAATAATATAGCATAAATGGATATATAAATATAAATATATAATATAAATATAATCTTTTAAGTACGTGTAGCCATTCACAAATAGTTGTGCACCGGTGGGGATAGCTGTCGCTGGTGGTGTCCGGCCGTGGGATAGCTATCAGGCCATGCAGATAGCTCTTGCGCGCGCTCCGTTTCTGGGGGTGTGATAGCGGTGTTAGGTACATGTAGCAAGCGCCCCTGGTGTTACTCGTGGGGATAGTTGTTTGGCGACTGTAGCGAGGGTAGCGGTGTTGACGTTTGGCGGACGATCGAGGGGGTTTTGCCAGGGGGGGGGGGATGCGGGATGTTGTATATATTAGAGCGGGCTGGGCGAGGGACGCTCATTCGTGAAGGCGCTGTGGTGAGGAGTTCGGTTGTCGCTGGCCGGATGTCACAGATCGGGTGTGGTCGTCAACGGTTGAGGCGGGAGTTGGGAGGATGGGGGAGATCTAGCGATTTGTGGGCTTCTTCTTCGTTGCGTTGTCGTGGTTTCGGGTGGTGGCCGTTCAGTGGAGTGCTGTGGTGCGTGGGGGGTGGCGAACGTGTTAGGAGGGGTGAGGGAGAGGGGGGGAGAGGGAGAGAGGGGGAGGGCTTCGGCCATAGCTGGCCGCTGAGCGCTAGGGGGCACGTCGACTTCTGCACGTGCTTTTGCATTTCTTCGGTGCAGCGCCATCCGTTCGTTTGCTTGAAAAGCTTTGGTCTCCATCGTCGGGTCTCGCCAGGGCTTCCTATTTTTGCTTGAAAAGCTTTGGTCTTCGTCGTCGGGTCTCGCCAGGGCTTCCTAATTGGTACCTTCGGAGGTGTTGGGGCGGATCTGTTGGTTGGTTGGTGGCGAAAGCTGAAGTTTTGCTGTGAGGGTTGGTGGCCAAAGTTGTGTGTGGTGTTCGATCGGGGATTTGGGGTGGTGTTCGATATTTTCTGCTCTGACGATCGATCGTCTTTGGGAAGCTGAGTAGGAGACGTTGTGTTTGAATGCGGTGGCGAAGAGGTTGGGTGAGTTTTGTTTTTTTTTTTTTTTTTGTTTTTATGGCTATATGAAGTCGGTTTTTTGAATTTCTTATTCTTATCTTATTTTATTTCTTATTTTGTTAAAAAAAAAAAAAGGGTTGTCATTTGCTGTCGTGTTGACGTCAGTGGCTGAGATGGTATTGTGAGGTTGGACTTGCGAGTACCTGCAGTGCTGTTGACGTCAGTGTGTCGTTGGAGTGGGTTGATCGGTGGGTGCTGGGGGCGGGGGTGAAGGGGGAGGGGGTCGGACGGTAGTCGCTTCGGGCTGGGACTCTTCGCTGGAACTGTCGGTTTTTGGCGTTCTGTGTCCTTTGCACTTCTGTTGGTTGTCTATTTTTGAGGCTCGAGGCTGGGAGTCTTTGGTGGAACTGTCTGTATTTTCAGGCTGGAGTCTGGGACTTTCAGGCTGAGACTGTCGGTTGTCTATTTTTGAGGGTTTGGATTGCGCCGTGAGTTGGTTCCTCGGAGGAGTCTATTTTTGACGCTCTGTGTCCTTTCCACGTCTGTGCATGGTTGTATTAAGGCGTCGAGTCTTAATGTGTCCAGTGTGCACTTTGTCTTCTCTCACGATGTTCTTATGTGTGTATGGCTGTGTATGAGATTGTCGGTGTGTGAGTGGCGGTGAGAATCGTCAGACAATGAAGTTCGTGCATTGTCCAAGCAGGGTTTGTACCATGGTTAGTGGTTATATATTGTACCGTTTTTGGGAAAAAGCGAGAAGTCCATTAAAGACCAAATATCGAGGCCGGGAATCCTCACAAACAACCCGGATAGACTCGAAAAAAAAAAAAGAAAAAAAAAAAAGACCTTTTATATATTGTCACAGTGTGAACAAGAGCGCAAAAGCGAGAAAGAGAAGAAAAGCGGAGAAAACAAGAAGGGAGGGGAGGAGGCAAGGAAAGCTCCATGTGTTGATGACCTGTTACGTAGAAGGCCACCCATGTATACGGAGATGAGGGATTCGATTGCTGCGTGCTGGGACTCGGTTGCTGCGGGCTGGGACTCAGTTGCTGCGCGATGGGATTCGGTTGCTGCGCGATGGGACTCAGTTGCTGCGGGATGGGATTCAGTTGCTACGCGATGGGACTCGGTTGCTGCTTGCTGGGACTCGGTTGCTCCGTGCTGGGACTCGGTTGCTGCGTGCTGGGGCTGGGTTTTGCATGCTGGGACTCGGTTGCTGCGTGCTGGGATGGATTGCTGCGTGCTGGGATTCGGTTGGTGCGTGCTGGGATTCGGTTGCTGCGGGCTGGGACTCAGTTGCTGCGCAATGGGATTCGGTTGCTGCGCGCCGGGACTTGGTTGCTGCGGGATGGGATTCGGTTGCTGCGTGCTGGGACTCGGTTGGTGCGTGCTGGGGCTGGGTTGCTGCGTGGTGGAACTCGGTTGCTGCGTGGTGGGGCTCGGTTGCTGTGTGGTGGGGCTCGGTTGCTGCATGCCGGGATTCGGTTGCTGCGTGCTGGGACTCGGTTGGTGCGGGCTGGGACTCGGTTGCTGCGCGATGGGATTCGGTTGCTGCGCGCGGGGACTCGGTTGCTGCGGGCGTGCTGGGGSTCCGTTGCTGTGTGCTGGGGCTCGGTTGCTGCGTGCTGGGACTCGGTTGCTGCATGGTGGGAGTCGGTTGCTGTCTGCTGGGGCTCGGTTTTGCGTGCTGGGGCTCGGTTGCTGTCTGCTGGGGCTCAGTTTTGCGTGCTGGGGCTCGGTTGCTGTCTGCGGGGGCTGGGTTTTGCGTGCTGGGGCTCGGTTTGCTGCGTGCTGGGGCTCGGTTGCTGCGTGCTGGGGCTCGGTTGCTGCGTGCTGGGGCTCGGTTGCTGCGTGCTGGGGCTCAGTTGCTGCGTGCTGGGACTCGGTTGCTGCGTGCCGGGACTCGGTTGCTGCGTCCTGGGACTCGGTTGCCGCGTGCCGGGACTCGGTTGGTGAGTCCTGGGACTCGGTTTTGCGTGCTGGGGCTCGGTTTGCTGCGTGCTGGGGCTCGGTTGCTGTGTGCTGGGGCTCGGCTGCTGTGTGCTGGGACTCGGTTGCTGCATGGTGGGAGT